ACCCAAATAGGGACTACATTAAGGCCCATGCTCTACTATTTGGGTACATGGACCCTTAGGGCTAGGTACCTTAGAATAGGGTCTGGGGGCCGATTATACCATAGTTAGAGTAAGGACCCCCCCCCCAACATAGTATAGGTAAGTATCTAGGCTCCTATATGACACCCGAAACTCCCCAACCTGGAATCGTAAATCCAAACCCTCTTAAACCCCAAGCCCTCAACGGCCCTAAAGACAAGTAGTACTTTGCCCTGAAACCTGTCGGAATTCGGGAGCAAGGAGTTAAGTGGATCAGAGTAGAGCAGGGTTTAGGGTGTAGGTTTTAGCAAGTTCACGTAGTGCTAAGTTTAGCACCGAAAAATACATCCAGTCGATGAACTCATCGTAAGGTCCCGAACTCCGGCAGGGACTCAACGTGCAAGGTCTCTTTTGGGCCAAGGGCCATGTCCAATGTGGCTTTTAGGCTTTGTGGCAGGAACTCTACATCAGGAATAATCCTAAACCATCCTCAAACCTAAATCCTAAACCCACAGCGAAACACAAAGTTGACTCATCACCATGAAGCCTAAACCCCAAACATCCCTGAATGCGGATCGGATACCCCTCCGGTTTCGGGATAGAGTTCAGGGCCTGAATCGAGAACTGCCCACCCTGTATTTTCCAAGGCCCAAACCCTACACAGACAGCCAAGATCCTCGGTCTTAGACCGAATGCCGAATCAACTACAGAGGGTATAGGGTTTAGGGGACTCCACCACCATAGGGCCTAGACCCTAAACCACTAAGGTTTAGGGTTTAGGGTTTAGGGTTTAGGGTCACTAAACCTTGAACCAACCCAACCTTGCTCAGCAATGCCTGAGAAACGAGCAGGAACCCTGACATACTCGGAGGGCCCCTAGATACTACTTGAGTCCTGCCCCCATACAGTCAGGGTCGATAACAGGGCTAGTATTGAGGCCTTATATACCTATAATATCAGTGTAAATTTCAACTGTTGCTGAGTGGGGGGGGGGGGAGGCATCCAATCAGCTACCATTATGGAATCAGGTCTCCAAAGCCAGTATAGCCACGGTTTACGGTTTAGGGTTCAGGGTTCAGGGTTTGGGATGGGCTTTTGGGACCTAGATTTTATAGCGGAAGTATAGACCCTCGGGTGACTGGGTAGTTAGACAAGGATTTCTTGAGCATCGTGCACTATAGTCATTGTGTAGAGACTTGTAAGGGGATACTATCCCTACTCGAAACCCTACAAAATAGCACCTGTCTTTGGAGACTATTCTATGCTTGGTACTGAGAAAAACGCAAACAAAAAGTGCCACACTAAACCCTAAACCCCAAAACCCTAAGCTAGGGTCTAGCTGACTCTGAAAACCCAAGTGCCATGGGCCTTCGTGCTGGCGCCGCGCAGCACAAAAGTCCTGGGAAAGGTGGAGATCAAAATGGGGTTGCGGGAAAGAGCAGGCGTTATAGCCCGAATGTAGGGGCTTTAATACTTAGTATAGGATTTTGGGGTATTATAATCATTATACTGTAATTTAAGTATCCCCCCCCCCCTTCCACAATAGAATTGGTAGTTATTTGGGCCCCTATAGTAAGCCCTACACCCTGGAGGCGTTCTAGCTCCTAGATAGAGGGGCTTAAGGTCATAAAAGGCTTTTGCCCTTCATGACTTGCAAGTTTCGTGGTTTTGGGCTTTTAAGGGGTTTAGGGTTTCGTGGGGTTGGGCTTTTAAGGGGTTTAGGGTTTAGGGTTTCGTGGTTTTGGGCTTTTAAGGTTCTGGTGTGTTCAGGATTTACCAGGAAGGATCTCGACTCCAGGCGTTAATAACTTTAAGATGCAGCGGTAATATGTTAAGGCGCTCTTTCATGTGAGTAGTTTGACGGTTTGTGGTTTAGAGTTCAGGGTTTAGAAGCTATGCATAAGAACATACTAATACTGTCTCTCTATATGTATGTGCGCACATATACATATATATATATATAGATATATATATATATATATATACATATACATATACATATATATATATATATAGACACGTTTATACAACATATATATATATATACACCTCAACCCTGAAACCCCGGCCCGATCGTTCTGCCCATGTTCGTAAGATTCTGGGAAGGATGACGGCCTTACTTGTCGAGTATTCCAGGGGAACTAAATACTAAAGGTTAGCCATTATGATTATATACGGGCTATAGTACTCAATGTTAAAGGTAACCTACTCTACTACTGAGGATGACTGGTGTTGGAGGCTGGACTGAAGGGCATGTTTACGGTTCGGGGCGTAGTAGGGTCTTCTCGGTTTAGGGTTACGGGGTTTAGGATTCGTTGTTTAAGGGTTTAGGCGGATTTAGGGTTTAGGCGGATTTAGGGTTTAGGGCCCAGAGTTCAGGACTTAGAGTAAAGTTAGGACGACACGGTTCAGGGGTTCGTCTAAGCGAAACAGGAACTCCAAACCGATGTGCTTCGCCATGCATCCTCTGCGAGGCAAACCATGGTCGCATGCACCTGGGTATTTTGGGCCTCCCCGGTCCTGACTGACATTTGCTGTTTTCCTGATGCCTGGCTTTGTGCTAATGCTTTGTCGCGACCTGTAAACAAGAATATTGGCTCATCAAGTCAAAGAACTACGCTAGATGTCACACTTGCGATTCCTCGTCGCACTCAAACCCGTTGCATGCTTGAGAGTTTACGATGGGGCAAAGCCTTCGCCTTCATAAAGTCGGGTTTGGGCCTCGACAGGGAGCACAGGAGGCAACTACATCACAGGCAAGGCGTGTCAACGTTGAATATGCCCGTCGCACTTCAAACCCCCAGAACCCCCACAAGAGCCGAGACTTTGATATCAACGAAGACCGGGGTTTGCTACATGGTCTGCAGCTGATGCTGCACGGCACTACAGTCACCGCCATAGTCTTCATTACCCCAGGTCACCACAGATTCATCGCCGAGAATGGCAGCGAAAGCACCTATAGTGGCCTGGATCTGCTGCACATTCTTCAACCGATGCTGCACAGCACGACTGTCACCACCATGGGAACTCGCACCCCATGTCACGACGGATCCATCCCCAAGAATGGCAGCAAAAGCGGCGGACGAGGCCTGAATCTGCTGCACAGTCTTCAGCTGATCCTGCACAGCGCTGCTGTCGCCACCAAAGCCAGAACTACCCCAGGTCACGACGGATCCATCCCCAAGAATGGCGGCGAAAGCGGAGTAAGATGCTTGGATCTGCTGCACATCCTTCAGCCGCTCCTGCACAGCACTGCTGTCGCCACCACGGGAGGCATTACCCCAGGTCACGATGGATCCGTCACCAACAATGGCAGCAAATGCGTTGTGAGAGGCTTGTATCTGCCGCACTCTCCTGGGCTTTGAAGTAACCAGGGAGAAAAAGTAAAGAAGTACAGACCTTTATTTCACAATGGTTCCTTTAAGGAACAGGTCAACATAAAAATGTATTAAAGTATGGGTACTCCAAAGCCCAGTCTCTTCAGTCGATCCTGTACAGCGGTGCTGTCACCACCATACTCAGCCACTCCCCAGGTCGAGACACAACCTGGTTTGCTCTTTATTACCTTGTTAAAACTATAAGTTTTAGTACCCTAATACCAAAAAAGGCCAATCCTAAAAGTAATTACCTTGCTGAAATTATAACTTTTAGTACCCCTAATACCAAGAAAGGCTAATCCTAAAAGTAATAAAGCTATAAAGTGACTGTAAGGTTCAACCAAGCAACCATCAGCAAGAATAGCAACAAAGGCACTGTAACAGGCTTGGATCCCCTGCACAGACTTCAGCTGATCCTGCACCACACTACTGTCACCACCACAGAGAGCATCCCCCCAGGTCACGACAGATCCATCCCCAACAATAGCAGCAAAGGCGCTGTGAGTGGCTTGGATTTGCTCCACAGCCTTCAGCTGTTCCTGTACGGCACTGCTGTCACCACCCTTCTCACCATCACCCCAGGTCACCACGGATCCATCGTGGAGAATGGCAGCGAAGGCGCCGTGAGAGGCTTGGATCTGCTGCACTTGCTTCAGCCGCTCCTGCACGGCACTACTGTCACCACCCAACAAGGCATCCCCCCAGGTCACGATGGACCCATCGCCAAGAATAGCTGCAAAAGCACCGCCATTGGCTTGGATGTGCTGCACAGTCTTCAGCTGACCCTGCACAGCACTACTATCGGCACCGACGCGCGGGTTTCCCCAAGTCACAACGGAACCGTCGCCATTAATTGCAGCAATAGCGTCGTGAGAGGCCTGGATCTGCTGCACATTCTTGAGCTGATGCTGAACAACACTGCTGTCACCACCACGCCTAGCTTCACCCCAGGCCACAAAGGATCCATCCGCAGTAATGGCAGCAAACGCCGTGTCACTGTGATGTACGTGAACATGGCCTACATGAAGGGTCAATGCATCACCATCTCGCACGTTGCAGGCCCCGATAGTTGCATGTGCATCCAGAAGGCTTCCACATGAGTTCAAAAGTCTCCCAAGTTTTCCGACTCCAAGAGCGGTCTGCGCACGAAGCTTTAATGATCCAACCTCTTCATCCAAGCCTGCAGTCACAGTAGCTGTCCTGCCACTGAGCAGTCCAACTTCTACAGTGACCGACATGTTTCAATCCAGAAAAACGATGAATATCGAAACCTATGTATAGCCCTCATAATGAAGCCCACTAAGGGTAGGGATATCCTGGTAAAATGCGAATGGTCATGTCCTTGTTGTGGCCCCTGGCGTCTCCCTAAACCCTAAACCCTAAACTCTTAACCCTAAACCCTAAACCCTGAAACCCTAAACCTTAAAACCC